CCCAAAACCCCAAAACCCCAAAACCCCAAAACCCCAACTTCAGGATATATACTGAAAATTTAATAAAAATGGAATCCAAAAGAGCAAAAGAAGAGAATAAGGCAGATAGTATCATTGCTGAGGTAGATCATAGCCAGAGTAATTTCTCAGAAGGTAATTTCAATGAAATTTAATTACTATAGGCTGGAACCAGATTACGACATCAAATGAAAATGAGACTGTGAATGACCTCTTAAAGGAGAGAGAGGATATGGCCAAACCAGGGAGTAAGCTAGAGATTAAGAGAGAAAGAGGCAAGCAGAGATCTAAGAAATCAAGGGATAGGAAATAAAGCATATATAGAGAATTTAGAGCAAAGAATCAAAGAACTTGAAGCTGAAAATTTCAGGCTTCAAAATTTGATCATTTCGTATAGGAACGATAAGTTAGATGTCGTTGATAAGAAATTAATACCTTTCACAGATGTCAACATTAGTGCGAAATTGGATGTACTTAAGAAATTTATCGACTCTCCTACTCTTGAAATTAAAGAGAGTACGATGTCTTTCTTCCATATGTACTCAAAGAATATTAAAGTTAATATTCAAAAGCATAAAGAGTTTCTAGATAAAGCTTTTGAGGCGATTGTTAACCATCCTTTCCCGAATTGGAAGATGAAGTACTGGGAAGATCTTGATAATGGTCCTCTAAAAGACTTAGAGATTCTTCAAAAATACTCAAAGTTATCAAAATACCAGATTCCAGAATTTGAAAAAACTCACAAATTTAACAAGCTTGATATTTTTGTAGCCTCACTAAAGTTGAACAAAAGGCAGTATGAGTTTGTGAAACAGTATATGGATAAAGAAATTCAACTCAAGAGGAGATACTTAAAAGGAATGAAGCATTTACTTAGAGCAAAGGAAATATTTGAGAGTACTATTCCAGAACAAGTCCTTTCAATAACTCTCCTACTACGGTCTCAGATATTGACAAGCAAGCAGATATTTGAGTCAAAATTTAAAGAAGACCTTCATTCTCGTGACAATGCTTTTAATGATATATTTTTAAATGGTATCTGGAAGATAAGCATTCAGAAGAAGAAATACTCTGCCGATCTGAACAATTGAGAAATTTTAGGAAAACTATCAAAGAAGTACCTTAAAGAATCAGAGTCCTCTTTGGAGCTTGAGTATAACCACTTCTGACTGCCATAAGATTGTGCTAGCCCTAATTTTAGCTTGTTAGAGGCTTAGCTCCAGTAGGTAATAATTTGTCACAACTTAAAGGAGTTTACGAATATTGTTATCTTTTAGCAACACACCATTCTTTCTGTTGTTTCAATATTAAAATCATACCGAGGGGTTTTGGGGTTTTGGGGTTTTGGGGTTTTGGGG